TTCTGGCCTCTTCTCTAAAGTGACAAGTGGCAGGACAAGAGAAATGGCCTCAAGTTGCACCAGGGAAGGCTTAGGATAGATATTAGAAAAAATTTCTTCACTGACAGAGTGACCAGGCATTGGAACAGGCTGCCCAGGGAAGTGGTGGAGTCACCATCCCTGGAGGCATTCAAGAAACGTATAGATGTGGTGCTTAGGGACATGGTTTAGTGAGTTAGGTGGTGTGGTTTGACAGTTGTACTTGATGATCCTTGAGGTCTTTTCCAACCTTAATGATTCTATCATTCTATGATTCTCTGACAGCTGTCACAAAATGATGCCCTGGATGCTGGACGCCATCAGACTCAGGATATTTGAACATACAAAGCTGGGGACATGGGTAAATTAAGCCAATGGACTTCACCTCAACCCAGTTATGAGCCAACTGATGGCAGGAGAACACAGAGTCTCAGAGCCCACCTGAAGTTTGGTAGGTCATTCATCAAATTTTCACATGCAAATATCCACTGCAGCTCTCCTCAAATTAACCATCTCTGATTAACATCCAAGAAGAAATACTACCATTTACAAACAAAGACTACTAAAGTATTTATTCATGTTCTAAACATGAAAACAATGGCTAACTTTGAAAAACAGCACAAAAAACAAAACAACTTTGAAAACAATAAAAGGAAATGCAGCACTATTAGAGTACAGATCTCACTGCTGCCTTCTGATATAGTTCTCAAGACCATGGAATCACACCGTTGCATAAGGAAACGCAACAAAATTTAAATTGAGATCTTTGTCTCATGACTGTCACTACCCTTCTGTGTGCAACAGCAGGCTGAATACTGATTAAGTCATTTCAAGATTTAGATCAAAACTCCATACTATTTCTATACAAGTTTCTTCAAAAATAGCAATATCAAAGTGAAGTTCAAAGATAAGGCTATTTTTTTGTTTTATGAGCAATAAGAATGTATAAATGATAAAAACATCACAGAAAAGGAATATATGTCCTTGTAAAACCAAGGCATGCTGCCACAGGAGTGAATTACTGGTACTTTTAATACAGCAACTCAAGCTTGCACAGAGAACTACTTTACAGATTCTAGTTTTTCATTTTAATAAGCATTAAAGATCACAGGAGACAGTCAAGAGTTATGTAGTATCCTTTCCACCAATGTGCCTGTGCCATGTAAAGGGTATTTACAGTGAGCAGAAGGAAATTTAAGTCACTGTATACTCAGTCCCAGAAGCTGCTGCTCAAATTAATCCTGACCCAGCAAGAGAGCCAAGCACATGCTGAACTTTGAGTAAGTAAATAGTCCCAGCTAACCGTCTAAACACAGTATCCCACACTTTTCACGAAAAACGATGTAGAGCCTGCCTTCAGTGGAACCAATGAAAAAAGAAACCAAAACAAACCCAACCTGGCATGGCATCAGCAACCCATATTTCATTACCCCTGTGCAAGATGACAAGATAAACTGATTACTTCTAATTTGTTACTGGAGAAGCTATGGTCGGAATTTACAGGAAGCCAGACACTTTGGAATAAAGACAGAAAAGTTACCTCTTATTTATGGCAAAGAAGGAGCCCATGCACCCGGAGTTACTGCAGTTAGCTGACTGAGCTCACCAGTTAGCTTCTGCCACTGCAGCTTGTCTGTTCACCTTTACCTTAATTCAGAAGTTCTTGGATTTTTGTGTTTTTTTACCTACCTAGATTTGTAATGAACTGACAAATGAAGGACAGTTAGCAAAAGAAAGCAAAGAAGAATTTTACCTGAAGGCCCTCTATGGCTAATCTAAGCATGCTTGGTGTGAGCTTGGAGGCCTGCTTGAAGGTGAAGTTGCTCCAGTCTATAATCAAAACAAATCCGTTCACTTGAAGCTCAGGGTCTTCTATCATGGCTTCTAAAGAAAGAAGTATGGCGCGCAAAATATCCACCAGTGTGTACCTGTGAACATTAAGGGGAGATTCAGTTAGGAAAGGAGCAACGACCACAGACGTAGGGAAGTTCTTAGCATTCTTCCTTTGTACTGGTTGTCAAAAGTTTAAATCAAAGGAGTGCAAACATATCATTAGAAGTCACAGGTATGTAAAGCTGGGAAAGTCTCAAAAGCTCAGTTAGTTGAACTCATCCTCTGGAGCAGGATTATGTACATCTAGACCATCAGCCATCCGGAACATACTACAAGAATATAACACACCAAAAGCAAATTTGAACTTTTCTGTAGTCTCCTAATCTGCTTTAATATCTATGCATTTTATTAAATGTCTGTACAAATTTATCTATGCAAATGGTATTTTTCTAAACTCATAATGATACCAAAACCTGAGTCTAACACCAGAAGTCTAGCCCTGAAGTTTCCTCCTACATTTTTCCAAGGGATTGAAATAACAGCTTCTACAAAGTTATCAGCTAAAAAAGGGATTTCCACATGCTCCTCTTGTCCCTCTCTCTGGGTAATATTTTCTCTTAAATCTACAAAGGGTATTACAGAAAGCTGATTATGCAATGATCTTGAAAGCAGAAAGTAACACACACTAGGGCTTTGAGGTGGTTCTAGTTAAGAGCAATAGCAACCTTTTAAGAGTTACTTAACTGCCTTCTGAGTACTGAGCACTTTATAGACCCAAATTATGTGGTTTCAGGAGTAAGTTTGGAACGTGGTATTCATCAGTCCCAGAATTTCCTGTGTTAAATTTGGGGTTACAAAGATGCCACCTGCAATATGAAATTTTATATACATGCACATAATCTTTTCTTAGATCAACGATCTTACAAAAGAAGACATAATTCCATACTGCCAAGCCCTGTTGAGTAAAATCTTTCTTTTTTGAAGCTAAAGCATCTCATACAGCAGCTAAATAGCTTAAATATATACAGCAATGTCATCTTTAGACTGCCATATAACAGAGTTATAAACCAACTTAGTTTAGCTTACTGGGTTTTTACAAAAATGGCAAAACATCTGAATTACCTGTGTTTTTTTAAGAGATATGAAAGTAGTAGTTTCAGGTTTGATTTTTTTTCCAGGCTAACTACATTTTATATCTAATAATCTTTTTTAAAACTATGATAGTTACTGAAAGAGATGTAAATTTGTTAGTCCGCACCACAGTATCAGATACAGCATTAGAAAGCTAAACTATAAAAATATCAGACAAGCAAATATTCCAGAGACAAAGGAAAAAGTTCAATCTCCAGTGTTTGTGCAGATATTTTTAAATAAAGCTCTTTAAAAGTCTCTCATGACAGTATCAGTCATAGAAGTTCTCAAATATATGAGTTCCCAGAGGAATCTGTACCATATTGCATATGTAGCAAAGAGCACATGTGCCTCTTTAGAAATGACATTAAATTAAACTAAATTCTACTTGCTTTAATAGAATGAGCATACTGTTCAATTGTATACATAACTATATTTTGAAAATATCTGCAAAAGAAAATAACACAAATGAAATTAATCTCCTCTAACTGACTCCTTGCATGTTTACATCTTTCTTTTTTTTTAGCCAACTAAAACTCAGTGAACTTCCCAATTATGCATTCCTAGGAAAGCGACTAGAAAAGGAATCTCTTAATGTCAGCTTCACACAAGTGAACAAGAAAAAGCATGTTTTCCCGAGAAAACATTAGGGAAAGCATTGTTTTACATGATTCTTCTCTTCATTTTGGAGACCCTTCTTTTGCTTTGAATTTGGTTTTCATAGCTTCATATTCACTCCTCTCCTTTTCACTTTCCTGAAATTTAACTTTTTTTCTAAGTCTTTACTTTTCCGAGACCTAAGGTTTACAGGAAGTTAGGCATGATCCTTCTTTTTTGCTCAGGTTTTTTCACCTGGGTGAGGAAACAGCACAAGAACAATTCATCTCTGTGATTTCGCTATGGAAATCCTCAAAACACTAAAATTCTCTGCTTCCCTTCGGCAGGAGAAAAAAAAAAAAAATATCTGTAAATGGAATTTTGTCCATGGAGGGGAAAAGGACATGCCTTAAAACACATTTTGAAGGAAAACATTCAAAATCTGTATCTTTAAAATTGTCAGCGCAATCTGATCATCAAAGAACTGTTAAGCCAGGACCCCATTTTTGGGGTGGGGTGAAGCAAGTGTGGAGTGCCCTGCCTGCCCTGAGCAAACCTGCCTGGGGGCACAGGAGCTTGTGTGGCAGAACCCCCTCTCCCCAGGCAGAGCAGCCCCCCAAGCCCAACCGCTGGCCATGTGGGGAAAGTGCCACCGTGGCTGCCGAACCTCTGAATAAGCAAACAAACACCCCCAGCACCGCAGTGTGTAGAGTGACCTGAGGAAAAATGAAATAATTCATCAGCTCTTTCCCAAATGAGCTTCCACATATAAAATTGGATGTGTAGAGACTGCTTGGCAGCATGAAGACTATAAATGGTTTTACTGGCACTAAAAGGGTCTTTGTTTGCCTAAACTATGTGCAGACCAGTCTACCTGTCCAGTACCAACACAGGTGCACAGACAGTGGAGGGCACTTAATCAACATGGGAACTAAAAATCCCCTGTACGATCTGCATTTTGTACAACTGCCAGCATCAAGATTAAAACACGCACTTAGCCTGAGGGAAGGAGACTTATAGAGTCATGGTCAGGGCTGGGCTCAGAGGGTGGCCAACTAACTGCTTTTGAGCCCACCGGTTACCTCCACAAGGTGGTGAAGGTCTCAGAAATACTATTTTTTTTAATCATTTAATGAAATTGGACAGAGAGACACCCTGTAAGGGGCTTTCCCAAGGAAAAGGTTGCAAACAGAAGGAAATTACATTACATGAGACATTTGGAGAGCAGGTAATGTCTCAGTTTGAGGAAAATCATCTCTAGAGCTCATACAAGAAACAGACAGCAGAAATACTCAAATCCTCAACTCCACTTAATATTTATGCTTCCCTATTCAGAGGAACTCATTCTCCAGGAGAAGAATTCCAAAAAGCAGAAAGCTGCTGCAAGCACCCTACATTCAGTCCAACAAGATGTGTCCCAAGCTCCTGATGTAGATCTCCAATGTCTCCCTGGGGAGTTCAAGAGACATCACATGCCTTGGATTAACAGCTCCCTGGTGGCACAAAGCTGCTAGAAATCTGGTGCTTTAGACATAAAGATTATTTGTTTATGAGGCAAATTAGGCCTCTGAGACTGGCCAATGCTTTTCTGTATATATATATATATCTGATAACTATATAGAAATACATAATGTAAACACCTATACACCTAATTATGTCCTGAATTCATTCAAGTCAATCGGAAAACTGTGAGGCATTAGTGAGACCAGGATTTCAACCATCACAGAGAATAACCAATGGTCACAGGGTTGGGCCTCCACAAATCCATGGCACGTTCACCATCACCATAACTCATAACTCATTTACCCATACCATAACTCATAACCCATCACCATAAATTTGTAAGATATACAGTCCAAACAAATGACGATACTGTAAGTTTACCCACTGAAAAAGACAAAAGGTTGTTCTCTCAGTGAAAACAAGTCCTGAAGAACACAGGCCTAGCTAAAAGCAAGCAAAAAGACTTTCTGCCAGGGGAAGGTGTTGTGGTTTTGAACCCCTGGCTAGCAGAGATGAGGGAGAGAATTAAAGGGGTAAAGGGAAAAGACACTTGTGGGTTGAGATAAGAACAATTTAATAACTAAACTACAATAATATCCAAAATAATTATTTTAATAATAGTAACATATATAAATACACAAGTGAGTGATATACAGTGATACTGCTCACCACTCAATGACCAAGGCTCAGCCCGTTCCCAGCTAACAATCCCAGAGCAGGGAGAGTCACAATCCCAGAACAGAGATGAGAGCCCAAGTGTCCCAAAGACCAAGACGACCCTGAGAGAGGGGCAACCCAGAGGGAGACAACCCAGAGCAAGAGAGAGCACTTCTGGACAGATCCTCATCCATATACTGGGCATGACATGCATTATATGGAACAAACCATTGGCCAATTTGGGTCTCAGTCCCAAACCTAAGGCCAAATCCTAGGCTAGTAATTGGGGCTGTGCTCCCTCCCAGCTTCTCCTGCACCTGCAGACACTGGCCCAGCAGAGGGGCTGAAAAGTCCTTGACTGTCCTGGCAGCAACTATAAACACCAGCATGTTATCAGCTGCCTTTGCAGTACAAATCCAAAACACAGCCTCACACTGGCTGCTAAGAAGAGAGTTAACTCCATCCCAGCTGAAACCAGGACAGAAGGTGTCTGAAGTACATTTTAAAAAGACACATCAGGAGTATACAGGGACATGTCACTAACAACCAATCTTCCCCCTTAAAAACCCTTTGGGGCAATTCGTTGAAGACAGGAGCTATCCTTCATTCTCTAATGGACCTCTTCTCTTGGTTTTGATACCATACTTAACGTACAATACAGAAAGCCACACAGGAAAGACAAATTAATTAGCATATATTTAAAGCAGCTTTTACATGCTGAGGCAAGCCAGAGATGTAAACCCACTGTGATAGATGAAATCTTAGCTGGTGCAAATGGCAAGCTGAGTATTGAAAGTATGAGCTGAACAGCCCAAGTAAATGAAACGTGACTAAAGAAACTATATTGAAGCTTTCACACAGCAGAGTTACTTGCATGAAGACCCATCTTTAATCCACTCCAGCCCATGTTGTCCAGCATTTCACCTTACTGCTACTACTGTTCATGTCAGCACCAGGATGCACAGGCTCTGCAATAAAACACGCTCCATCCTTGGCTGGACTTCAGAGAAATTAAAATCCTACATAAAAATGGGGAAATTTACTCCGGATTGTGCTAGTGAAACTTTTATCCCACACTGGAATTACTTTCCATACAGATACAGAAGGATAACCAATCAAAAATGAGAAAAACAGGATAAGCTAGTGAGTATGAAATAAATTTGGTACAAGAAGACTTTGACTGCCTTTCTACTTTAAAGAATTTTTA